CCCGGATTCTCATGCTCGCTCCACAATCGATGTAACCGATCGGAAGTTTCTCGTCTGGCCGTAATAACTTCGACGAATCGAATGATAAATCAAAGCAAACCTAGCCCGAGTTCTTACCACGAATTATCGTTCGATTCGGCCCGCAACGATTTCCTCGCGATTTCTATTCTTTATTCGCGTCGCGCGACCCTTGACATTTATGAAAATCGCCGAGCGATCTCCAGAACCAATCGACAATGACAATGACGACGACATCCCTCCTCTTTTATGGTGAAAGACGCGTGAATATTTTTCTTTTCTTTCGTAACTTCTCCTTCCGTCTTTTGTCCCATTTGTCCCCTTTTATGCAAAAGCGTATCGCGAATCGGCAAAATTCAGTGAATCGCAACTTCGTTCTGCAGTTCGACAGATCAATTTGCACGTTCTATACCGCAATAACGGTATAGTAATTCAGTGTATCAAAGAACAAGAATGTTAAATAACAATTTCTGGATGAACAGACAAAGAATATTAAATTAATATAGGTTATATGTTATTAATACAAGTTAAATCAAATTAATATAGGTTACCATTAATATAGGTTATCAATATAGGTCAAGTCAAATTAATATAGGTCATCGTTAAAAAAAAAAGAAAAATGATATATATTTTAAAGCACAATGGTAAAGCAATATAATACGTTGTGAAATTTTACCAAGTAAAAACAAACGCCTAACTTTTACGTTGTATTTTAAATTTAAATATTATATGGTGGCAAGTACTTATTTACCTGTTCATCAAAGCATTTAAGATAATAATTGAAAATTTTCATCGCGAAATTGTTTAAATCTGCACTTGCTTCGCGTTGAACTCTGACTGTCAATACTTATTTCAAACAGATATCTAAATATTCCTAGTGATACGTGTTTAAAACTTTCAAAGTGAATGTTATTAATTTCCAGAAACAAATTTCGATTCTTGATCATCGATGCGCCGACATTGTATGATGATCGACATCGATATACAAATGGCATACTCGCGATTAGAATCATTCTTCCAAACGGAGGGGAACTCCGTCGCTGAGAAGAAAATCGGTATTCATTTTTGGAAAGCGCGGAAATGTCATTGGTCAAGGTAGCGGGACGAATTTCCCAGCCGCGAATCGATATTTCAACAAAGGAATCTCGGCCGCGCATTATCGTTAGCAGACGAAAATACCTTTTTTCCCGGGGAAAAAACAAGCGACGCTGAATTGAAACAATTTTTCCATTTTCTTCCTCCCCTATCCCCCTCCACCAAGCAGCAGTTTTAAACAATCGTGCTACCAAGCTAAACTGGATAAGCAGTTTCCGTTCGACTGTTCGCCGAGACTTTTTAATTCGAGGATTTCATTCATCGATCTTCGTTCCGTCGGAGTTCCGGTGAAAACAATTGCCAAGGAAGAACCTAATTACTAACCGGTTAATTGTACATGGTACGCAAAGCGAAACAAACCATAATTCAAACGGCATTACTTCGAACCGAGGGAATCTAATCAAAAATTACGCTTCACTCCGAGAGCTAGGCATCCTTAATTGGAGGGTAAATGAAACTTTCAACTGATTCCACTCTTCCCCATTCCTCCCCCTCCCACCGGTGTGGACAGAGAATCGTAAACCTCGAGTCGATGACAAGACGAAGTTTTTTTTTTATCATAACGCGCTAATGGAAAGAAAAGATCGACGTAATCGGAAGCGAACGATACAACGTGTCCTACAAAACGAAACGGCCGATCCGAAAGGTAGCCACGGTTGTACCGATTGTAAGAGCAGACACGTGCGATTGATTTCACTTTGACTTCCGTCTTTCATCCCGAAAGAAAATTCCTTTCCTTTTGTTGATCGGAGACGATCGCGATTTTTTCACGGTGCAAAGGCCATCGTACTTCCGAATTCCTAGAAACAGGCGAGACTCTCGAAGTCTCTCTATTCGAAGCAAACTTAACAAAAAAGGTGACAACGAGAGTTCTTTTCTTCTCTCGCGGAAAAGCTTCGTACGCGTCGCCACAGCGTTATTCTGACGAGGATTACGAGCGACGAAGTTACCGTATCCAATTTGCTCTGCGCCATTTCGCGTGACACAGGCCGCGCCCTGGATTTCTTCCATACTCCCACGACGAGAGAGGTCTTCGTCTCATCCATTCGAGGCGGTATGACCTACGCGCCTCCGTTACTCTCCGTTTTATACAGCGCGATCGCGCTGTTCAGATTACGCGTCGAGTATAGTGCCACAGCATTTGGTCGCGATGCTCAATTTACCATGCACTCGGTTTCGATTATAGCGTTATATCGTCGTCAGCCGTATTGAAGCTTTCTCTCCTAATTACTTCCTTTTCAATTGAACCTAAATCACGCGCATTATTTACTTTTATTGCTTGGCATTTTTTGCAGTTACATCAAGAAAGCGCTATCGCACCGCACGACACTGTTCATACAAGTTAAGATTGAAATGAACTCCCTAATTCGTGAACAAACAAATCCACGAAAGTTTACGATTTCTTCATAAATCGGTGCCCGAATAAGATCGAGCTTGTTTCTCTTTCGACGCGAACGATGAGCAAAAATGAGTGGTAAAACACTCGAGATTCTTTGCGAGACGACTCTTCGAACGCGCGAGTTTTCGCCCCGGGACAACGAGCGTCGAGATTGTCGATTAATTATATTATTAGCGCCAGTCCGCTTTAGATCAGTCGGGCGATTTTGCAGGCAAATTGCTAGCAACTCGAGCGTGCAGTTGATCAACGTACATACGTTACGTTTTATATAACGCAAAGAGGAGGAAGGCAGAGCGTGCACGAGCACGGCCCGTCGGTGGTTGTATATCGTCGTGGCGAGGTTAAGCGTGGAAGGGCCTCTGTCGAATCGATTCGACGATGGGTGGAGGGCCCCTGCACACTGCAATGCCGTAACTTCCTCAGAGAAGGAAGATTTCACAGGAGATCAGAAAAAGCACCCGACGCGGCGTCGACCATCGAGAAATGGAAATGGGACAGACGGGAGAAAGATGACGGGAGAAAGCACACCGATGAACGTCGGTCAGACCAACGAGCGAACCTCCCTTCTTACACGAATTATCCGATCCCGATCTCCGCTGTCGTGCGAGCAAATTCTACTCTTTCTCTCGAGAGGATTCGTACATTAATTAAACCTTTAATCTTTCGATTGCCTCATAGGCAGTTTTTTTCTCGTCTCCATCGTAGCTCTATCTTTCTCTTTTTCTCCCTCAAGTTTCTCAAAGCAAGATAATTTCACGTATTGTTTGTTCAATTTTTCCACGAGAAGTCCCCCGGTAGTTTGCGTTTGAACGGCGAATCGATCGAAAGTTCGAGTTCGTGTTCGCGAAATAGAAATAAATAAAGACAGACGCGTGACAATTCTCGTAACCGGAATTAAATAATCCAACCAGGCGAATGTAAACTTTGGCTAATGCAAAGCGGCGAACGTAAATTCCGATCGGCGGCCCTATCTCCGACTGCAATTATGCAGTCATTAACGCGTCGAGCTTCCGTTTTCGGCAATCGGTAATCAGTGTCAATAAGAGAATTATATTTCACGACGTCGATATTGTGCCTGATTGACAGCGACGGTTCGATATTTCACGTATTAACGACAGACCACCGAGAGTGGACCGACACGCGATGAAAATATCACTCGCGGACGCACGCGCGAGCACTAGAGGAGCTACACGCGCTAATATACACAGAACGGAATAATTAACTGCGAGATGATCTTCTACCCCCATATATAATTTTTTCTCGTTAATTGAAAACAAGCCAAGAGTTTACGCTTACGGCAGCGAATCGTTCGCATTCACACGACTACTGTTACTACTACAACGCTCGCATTTATACCGACACACGATCTTGATAACGCAATTAACGTTGTCACAGTCCGCGCGCGCACGATCCATCTTCCTGCCGCACGACCAATTCAACGAATTTTCGCGCACAATCCCGAGACACCGCGGGGCGGTCAGTGGGAAAGTTCATGTGAAAACACACGAACCATCCGACACGAAATATTATGCAACGTTGTCCGATAACGCGAGCGATTTGCGTTTTAAGCGACAATATCAGTCCGTACCGAACGCTCGTCTGTGGTTTTTAAAAATTCTAAAAATGATAAAAAGAGGATCACGAAGAATCGAGCTGGTTTTGTTTCAATGTTTTCTCAAACATCGTGGACCGTCGATATTTCTTACGACCGTCGAATAACAAGAGGAAACAGAAGAGCAGAATCAGACGAATACAAGCACGATCGACGCGCATCGGGGCCCTTCGTTCGAAAAAATATTTTTTCGTTTCTTTGGCGACGTTCCGCCACGAAGGAAATCCTGGATACGGTGAAGCGTGTCTCCTCGATAATCAATTTCCCCCTGACTTGCCTCGGCTCGAAAACGCGAGACCGGCTTTCCTCTTCCTCTTCTCTGTGCGATCGCTCGATTCTGCTGGCCGACGATCGACTGGTTGAAACATTCGCTCGATGAATCAAAATTCGGTCCTTGGCCAGGATAAATTACTCTCGGTCACGGGGAATTCGATTCGACCGATTGATTTACTAGCGTTTACAAACCCGTCGATCGAAGCCATAAATTCTAGCCAATGTTCACCGTCGAAGTTCATGTCGAAGCATTTATTTTTTTTTTCTTTATTTTTTTCTTTCTTTTTTTTTGTTTTTCGTGCGTGTGACGCGCGTAATCAATTTAGGAAGTGAAGCAAAAATTTAATTAAACGTAGCGAGAACGGTTACGTCGCCAGTTATAAATAGAATCGGTCGCGTAATCGTTTATAATGCGCGATACGCGATGCCTCGCTCGACAGAAGTGATCGTTTCGAAAGCGAGAAATATCCCGCGTTTCAGCAATGCTGATGAAATTAAACAAACTGAAATTTCCACATCCGAAGCAAGAAAGCGAACGTGTGGCAAGTGTGCTAATTAAGCGCGTCGTTGGACGGGACACGCGTAATTGGGCCATCTTTGGCGCATCGGGATTTTTCGTTTCAATTTATTCGTCGAGATCGACCTTGTGCAAAAAAAAAAAAAAAGCGCGGATAATATCAAGAGCACGCGATGGTCCAAAGTCAAGCATTTTCATCGCACTGAATCTCCGCTTTCACCTAGTTCTCAGAAACGGGCGGATTTTCCGAGGCCGTGGTGGCTTGTCTTTTCTATCCACGGTACAAAGGAGAGAGTATCGAGGAGAACGAATCGATGAGACGGTGGCAAACCCATCCGATCGATACTCAAAAGCGACCGAGTAAGACGACCCACTCGAAAATCCTGATTTTCTAATTATATTTTCTAATTATAGTGCACAGAGGACCTATAGTGCCACGAGGAAGGATCGGCGTTAAAATTTTAATCGTTCGATTAAAAGCAATCGAAAGATACGAGAAGAATCGAGGAGAAGAGAGATGGGCGACAGGGATGGATGCACGATGATCGGTAACGTGGCCAATATCGTGTGATCCCGATGCTCGATCAGATTCGATCAGCAACACCGACGAAACGAAGAAGAAGGAAAAGGAAAAGGAAAAAGCGCAACCGATAAGAGAGCGAACGTGGTAATGTCCGTCAACGGGACAAAACACCGCCCACGAGTAGCCGTGCGAGTAGGCAAAGTCACGCGACTTTCGTCTAACAATAAGGACGAAACAGCATGGTACATGGCGAGTAACGAATGATCAAACGATCGTAGAAGGTAGAGAAGGTAGGGAAGGTAGGGGAGGTAGGTAGGTAAGTAGGTAGGCAGATCGATTCAAGATAGGTAAGAAAACGCGTAAAGAAGGTGGATAAAAAAAAAAGGATCGTCTGGAAGTTTCTTTTCTTTTTCAAGAGAGAGAAAAAAGTGTATCGCGTTTTCGTTGTCGTGTGCATACCGTTTGCGTTTGAAACAGTGTACATACCGAGGGCATCAGCTGATCGGTAGACCTGACCCGGGTCACCCTGTTTCTATAGAGCACTCTCTTGACCAGCTTCTCCATCGGTTGGTTCCACTTCATGAAGCTCACGTAAGCCAAGTAGAATCCGAAGAGTACGAGGGCCTCGTACCAGTGAATATAATTATCACGGAAGAAATAGATCAGGGTGAGCAGACTGGCGCTATAAAAAGAGCAGTCGCGAAATAGAGGCCACCATGTGAGGGAGAGCACGGTACGCGAGAATATAGCGCACATGCCGATCACGAAGAGAATATTGAAGACAGCCGAACCGACGATGGTACCGATACCAACGTCGTCGAACGACACGAACACGCCGATTATCGATGTGAAGAGTTCCGGGGCCGAACCACCGGCCGCCATGAAAGTAGCACCTGCAACGTCGTCGGCGATCTCGAGTTTCTCGATGATCACGTCCAGAGACGGCACGAAGAACTCGTCGCAAACGATCGCCAACGCGACAAACATGTACACTACACCCATTACGTGAAGTATCACGGCACCGTGTTGCCGTTGTTGGACGGTGAAGAGATCACTGGGAAAGAGAGGCGCCTTCTCGGTCATGTTAGCGTCGATTTTCTTATGATGGTGATGATGGATGGTACTGTTGTATCCGTCTTCCGTGTATGTATCCAACTCATTGTTGTTGTTGTTGTAGTTGGCATTCGGTAAGACGGTACCGTTCACCGAGTGGACGTAGAAGGGCGTAGTTGTCGTGCTGGTGCTCGTCTGCAGAATGATCGGATTGTTCGGTGCTGGCCTGTGTCCCTCGGTTGGCGCGGGACCGATCGCTAGGGTCAGTAAGGCCGAGGCCAGTACCGCAACCGCGAATCGGCGCCTCCTCCTCCAACATATACGTCGTTCGCCGCCTGTCACGATCATCGTCGTCGGTGGTGTTGCTGGTGCTGGTATCTTGCACCCTCGAGGACGTTCGCCGTCGTTAGCGAGTCCACCGTCCTCCTCCTCCTTCTCCTCCTTCGTCTTCTTCTTCTCCGTCCTCCTCCTCCTCCTCCTCTCCCCCGTCCTCCACCACCTCTCTGGCCGCCGCCGCCTCCACCACCACCACCACCTCCTCCGACGGCACCACCTCCGCCTCCTCCACCACCTCCTTCTGCGTGTCGTATCGTGTCGCGGCGCGGAGGGTGTACGCCAGCAGAGGTACCCTACTAAGGCTGGGTCATGTTGAAACACCGAAGAGCTGCTCTCGCATGCTCCTCCACTTTCGATGGCTCCCTCCGACGAATGGATAGATCTACCCTTTCACTTTTCTCTCTTCCTCTTTGTTATTCCACCTTCCCTTTTATTATTATTATTATTAGTATTATTATTATTATTATTATTATTATTATTAGGTCCTAACCACTTCGGTTACCGGTGCTTCGTCTTTCCTGTTTCTCTTTTCCCTTACTTCTCCTTTCCTTTCTCTTCTTCCCTCCGTCCTCTACTATCCCTTCTTTCTCTTCTTCTCTTTTTCTTTATCTCGTTTTCTCTTCCCCTTTCTCTTTGCGCAGTCTCCGTTTCCGTTTTGTGTTCTCCTTGCGCGCTCTCTCTTCTGTGCCCTTCTTCCCTCGTCTCTGATTTCTCTTGTTCGGCGTACAACGGACAACGCGCGTTTCGTTGTGCGTTCCGCAAGGAAAAAAAAAGAAAACGCAATGACACTCTGGCTAACGTTCACGACGCAGGCAACGTAGACGCAATAACGAAGAAGAAACGTTCGCGACGCGTCCTGTGATATCTAATAAAACTCTACCGGTGCTACTACAACGTAGATACTGTCGTTTAGTCGCGAAGAGTCACTCTCTAGCCTTCGATGCGAACGATGTCGCCAGATATCCTGTTCCTCCTCCTTCTTCTCTTCCTCCTGCTTCCCGGCGGCGTCGTCGCCGTCGTCGTCGTCGTCGCCGTCGTCGCCGTCGTCGTCGTCGTCGTCGTCGTCGCCGTCGCCGTCGTGATCGCTAGGATGCGGTGGATGGTGCATATAACCCTGGATGGATATACAGGAGCAGCAGAACGGCGCCCCCGCCGCGATGCCCGCCTGCTGCACACTGGAACAACCCTGTTCCGTTCCGTTCCTCTCTCTCGACTTTCTCCCTCCTCCCTTCCCACCCACATTTTCCACCACCTTGCTACCACGTTGCCCTCTTTATCCCGCCCTCCGCCGTTGCCTGCTCTCCTCGCCCTTCCTCCTGTGTCCGTCTCCTTTTCGCTTTACACTGTCCCACGGACTTTCTCTGTTCCTCTTTCTGCCTCTCGTCTCTTCCTTTCCGTTCTCGCAACGTGGCTGCTCGCATCAGCTTCTTCTACCTCCTTCATCGACATTGGACGTCCTCCGTCCTTCTCGCCACCCTCTCGGTCGTTCTCTTCCCTCGTCGTTCCAACCTCTCCCCGTCCTTCTCAGCTTTTCATCCCTCGTCCTCGTCGTCCTCGTCATCGTTCCTCTTTCCCTTCGACGAGAGCACACTGGATCGTGCCTTCCCTCTCGTTCTACACACTATACTCCACCCTATCGCAGTCTCGTTCTCGCCAACGTAACGTATCCCACTTCCACTTTGACGGTACCCCATTGGTTTCTCCTTTTTCCACTCGTTTCGACCTCTTGCTCTTTCCCTACTCCTCTTCTGTCTCTTTCGTTGCCACTCTTCCGATGTTCGTCCCTTTCTCTTGCATCCCTTGCGTCTCCCTTTCTCCCCGCTGCCAGCGAAGAAGCCACCCTCCCTCCCCCTGCCCCGCTTCACCCCTTCGCCACGATATTCGTCCTTTCACTCGCCACTACCATGTACACCCTACTTTCCTCTTCGTTTCTCTTGAAATTCCTCCCCATCTTCGGCACGCGCTGGTGGTGGTAGATCGTAGAGGTGGGAGCCTGCGCACGTGTAAGCTCGAGTAACTCCCGCTCGATATCGGAGAGTCGACTCTACAACTCTACGCTACGAATCCACATATACCGGGTGTCGTCTCCATCAT